TCTCTCACTCTCTCTCTCTCTCACTCTCTCTCTCTCTCTTTCTCTCTCTCTCTCACTCTCTCTCTCACTCTCTCACTCTCTCTCTCTCTTTCTCTCTCTCTCTCACTCTCTCACTCTCTTTCTCTTACTCTCTCTCTCTCTCACTCTCTCTCTCTCTTTCTCTCTCTCTCTCACTCTCTCTCTCACTCTCTCACTCTCTCACTCTCTCTCTCTCACTCTCTCTCTCTCACTCTCTCTCTTTCTCACTCTCTCTTTCTCTCACTCTCTCTTTCTCTCTCTCTCACTCTCTCTCTCTCTCTCTCTCTCTCTCTCTCTCTCTCTCACACACACACACACACACACACACACAGAACACTGCCATATGTACACTTAACTCTTAACGTACGGACATGGGTCGTTTTCGTCTTGAGCGAAATTACGTTACATTTTTTTTTGGATTTGTTGTCATATTTACTAAAAATTGTGAATTAAAACTTTTTTCACTAAATTTAATGATGGTTTCTTAAAATAGACAGTTTAAAGAGTATATACAAATTGTTTCAGATTTTTTAAAAATATTTAATATTTTTAAAAAGCCCAAGACGAAAACGACCCATGACCGGAGAATTAAGGCGTCGAAAAACACGCCGTCCGTTGAGGGTTTAACCCCTCTGTTTTTCTTCATATCCGATCTTCACTTAACTGTCGGAGAATCATTGTCGCGTATAATATGCATCATATTTCCACGCTGCGCCCTTTATATGCTGAAATATGAATCCAGGAGTGAGAAATCGTGTAAATTTTGTGTTTTTGCATTATATGTCTGCAACCAGAATAGTATTTTTATACGTATATTTTATTCTAAATAATGACTGATCTGTCCTCTAGCATTTTCAAGCATTGATTTACGTATGAAAAACGAATTTTTTTTTGAGTGGCAAAAACTATCAAGTTATCTGAAAATATAAAATTATAACATCTCGATTTCTTACTCCTTGCTCACAATTAAACATTACTGCAGCTAGGAAGCAAAAGCTCTTTAATCCAATTGTGTTGTACGGTTGGCACATCACTGAAGCTTTGTGGACACACATTTGAGCAAGCGCGTCTTTTTCAGGTGTACGTTGGTCTGTCGGAACTTTTCTGCAGGTTACAGGACGCAGACAAGAGCGCGAGATACGCTGCAAGGGCGTACGATCTCTCGAGAAGTTTACAACTGGGAGATTTAAATTCGCGTCATCACAGAGAAGCGTTATTACAAATGGCCACGGCGCTCAGGAAAAAAGGCGAACTAGGCGATGCTCATGATTATTGCTCGGTAAAGTTTCAGCTGTGAATTGTACGCGCGAGTGAAAACTTGTGTTCATTCAACAAAATTAAAGATACAAAATTGCGCGAGAAATTGCGCCGCTTTCATCGAATCAAAAATATCATGGATTTCACGAATCCTTTTACGAATGTTATATTATACACTTTTTTTATCAGACAGTAAATTTTGTTCAAATCTTGATTACGCAGTTTATTTGTGTGCAACATTGTTGTTTTTATATATTATGTACATGTATATAGGAAGCAACGCGGCTGTCGCTGGTCTCTGGCGACCAAGCCAGTTACGCTCGAAGCATTCGCATCATGGGAGACATTTACAGAAAAAAGTCCGACATAAACGTAAGTGTCTCTCATTAGTTTCTATTGCGATTTTTTTTTTTTTTTTTTTTTTGGCTTTGCTCGTATCCTCGTGTAGCGTTTTATTATATGATTCTTCGAACAATAAGTGTCGTATAACCATATCTTTCGTTGTTATCAACCGTATCACAATTATGAAAACACTTGGTTTAAATACATTCTAAATATCATAAAAAACGACGTTCAAAAGCAAAATCGTAATTTTTTTCTTGTATGTAAACGATCAGAAGCATGCGGTTACATAACGGAAAATAATGCCAATACGTCTATTTCCATACCTACAGCATCGAAAACGTTTCTGTAGATAAATTTTTTTATCGGCATCTGCGTCAAACACTATGAGAGATGCTATCGGAACCATTCGCAGCCTTATTGTTCGCTCTAACATTGTTACACGCTGTCATCGACGATAAAAAACGCCATAACTGAAGCATCTCTTTGCATGTCACATATATATGTTACAAAAGCGATTTTAACGCTGCGTCACGCTCGCAACGCATATAGCTTTTATTTTGTCCTGTCGTTGCTACAAAAAAACCCTTTCGAGCGCTGTTGAAAACTGAATAATAAAAATTCGGTAAAATGTCTATTTTAAAACAACGTATCGAATATCAAAAGACAATATATACATACGCGTATATAAGTAATAAGTGATTTTCTTTTATCGTGCACATTGCAATTGTAAAATATTCAAAAATCGATATTTTAAGAACATAAAATATAGCAACACAATATTATGCGTGAATTGAATTTGTAAGTTTTAACAATATTTGTGTGTAACACGTAAGTAATTTTGTCTGAAATAATTTTGAAAAAAAACAAAAACAAAAACGTTCAGTTTTCAGCGTTTCGGAATAGATGATCCTTCGATATGTCTCTCAGTTAGCGTCCCCGCGAATTACGATTACAGTTAGCCTTTAGTTGATGCATCGCGCACGTCGACTCTACGTCAGGACGATAACACCGGTGAGATAAAGATGGATATATTGCAGAAAGCATTTCGACAGTACGAAAGCGCGATGGGTTCGGCGGCCGCGACTGGGGATCGGTTGTGCCAGATGGAGGCAATGGACGGCGCGGCGAGATGTCTGGAAGCTCTCAGGCTCCAGCACAAGATATGCAACTGCAGGCCCCTCGAGTTCAATACCAGGCTCCTGGAAGTGGCGGGTTCAGTCGGCGCCAAGGTAAACTGTCAATGTAAATCGCGGATTTCGCTTGTTCCAATTCACAGAAACACGCAGATGGAGATGAGGAAAAGAAACGGGAGGCGCGACTGTAAAATCAATTTCCTCCCTCTTTGCCTCACGATACAACGAGAGTTATTCTTCTCTCTTTTCTTTAGTCGTCGCCTGAGACCAACGGAAACTCAAAGCGAGCGCAATGAAGTTCTGCGCTCGTTGAGTATTTGGGACAAGTTGAACGTGTTAAAGAGAAAGAAAAAATTTCTTGCGGATTTTAAGTAGAAACACGTAACCTTTTGATTCGTCTGACAAAAATGATGTACAGTACAGACTCCCATATCCGAACCCTCATTATCCGAATAATTCTAATATCCGAACATTCATGTAACTATATATACATGTAACTATATTGAATATAAACATCGCTATATATACAAAACGTTGTTCGGATAACAGAATGTTTGAATATTAGGATTATTTGGATAATGAGGGTTTGAATATGGGAGTCTCTACTGTATTTTCTGTTTTATAAATTTTAATTTTGGAGACATTTAAAAATCTGAAAAAAGCTAACATTATATAGCTAGATTTTTATCAGATTACCATAAAGTACAATGCTTTCTGATGTGCACACGTTAAACGTCTAATTTTAATCAGAAATATAATTAATTTTAATCAAATTAATTATATTTTAAAGGAATTCAGAATTTCTTTAATTGTATATAAAAACTTCATCTCTAGAGATGAAGAAACTGTATTGACCAACAACTACATTCCTATGCGATTTATAAAAACCAGTTTAATTTATTTCAATACGTAAATATATCAAGTAATATATATTGAGAGAAAAACCTGATTCGACTTGGTCTGAGACAATAAGTCGCGCGCACATGCATTGTTCACTCATTTAATAACTGTATATCACTACTGCGAATTTCAATGGAATATCGAAAGTGCTATTGACACAACTCTGCATCATACAAATATTCTATGCATACATTACCACATGCGCACCCGAGTCCTTGCACTATTTGTGTCCGTAAATCAATGAAGCCGATTCTCTATTTTGACGCTACATACGCGCACCTACAAACTTTAACGTATAAAATACTTCAAAAGCCGAGCAGTTTAATAGAGCTCTACATAGAGATTAAAGTGTGTTCTCCCTTTACCATAGATTAATATGGTACTTCATACTTCATTAACTTATTATATTGTAATGACTTGCTTACAAGCACATGAGACATTTGTCGACAATTATAAAAACAAAAACTATTCTTCTCACACATGTATAACTCGAATATTTTCTTACATGAAGTGAGATTTGTTTCGTATTTGTATGTGGATCGAGATATAATTTGAAAAAAATTTATTTTGAGAATATTATTGATTTATGAAGATCCGACTGCTTGCAGCTCTTGGTCCGGACAGTTAGGTCCAGATTGTCGCGAATTTACGGGTCTTTAGGTGACGAGGAGCAAAAAGGACATCACGAAAGGCTAGCAATTGCGATGGAAGAGGATTTGGAGCTACGATGCGGAAGCTGCAATGAACCTTTCGGTTTGGAAGCCGATTCTCTGGAAGCGCTACCGTGCTCACACATATTACACGCTCGGTAGGGTGAAAAAGTGTACTTTTCTTTTTTTTTACAAGAAACATCTCGCAGGTTTTCCGCCACAATTATCGAATTACGATGTAGACACGAAAAATCATATATACATAAATTTTGGTCATACAATTCTATATTAAGTCGAATTTATTTCGATTTAAATTTTTCACCCGAGATAAAATATTTCTCACTTTTGACACGTCACAAATAATTACATATTATATGTAATATCTCCAAGATTCTTTAAAAACAGATAAAGAAAAACGAGTTAAAACAAATCGTCATCACACCATAAATACGTTTGTAAATAAACTTTTAACATTAACTTGCTTTTCAAAGAATATTTTTTCTGTTCCTTCATCTCTTCTCGTAATATTTGCAGATGCGCGTACGACATCTTGAAGAGACGCGATAAAAAGAAGAAGCGCTTATGTCCCGATTGCCATAAATCTGTCAGCTCACGACTGTACCTGCATTGCGAGGATCCTCATGGCATGAATACTTTAAATTATAGTTCCTTGAGCCTGGCGTCATTAAGGGCCAGCAGCCTAGCAACACTTGAGGACTGTCACGCGACGAGTAGCGTTTAAAAAAGAGAAACACACAAACCTACCAATGGATTACGTTTATTTTAACGCGTTGGAGCGATCCGCATGCGAGTAGATAATTTTAAAAATCATAATTTGGAAGATAAACGAGTCAACGGAAAGAGTAGTACGATACGAAGAAAAAAGATTTAATGGCAATAAAAAGTGCACACGCCTCAATATCCATGCTCTACTGAATATTACTTTTTTTCCTGACAAGAATTTCAAACCTGTTTATATTTCTTTCTTAAAAGACTCTTTTTTTACATTTGCATTTCATTATATGTAGAAGAGTGAAAAGCACAAAGATACAAGACATAGATAAATTTTGTACATGTATATACAAATAATCTTATATACATTATTGGGTATATAGAATTTTTCTCGAAAAAGTAATTATGGGTGCTTTCCAGCTACGTGCACAGGCGATGCTGTGTAACACAGTGTCGCCTGTGTACGTAGCTGGAAAGCACTTTATGTTGTCTATGATATACCGAAGATCATTGAATCTCATAATACTCGATGTTTTATTTAATTTAATAATTTTGATGTAAAATTTAAACATTTTATTATTAGTTAAAAAAAAGTGCCAATGCTTGTTTTAGTAAAACATAAACAATACTGGGCACATATATGGGAGCAAACTTACTTGACTAAATCTGACGATATACTTGTTTTTCCTTTATTGAAAAATAAAACATATACTGTAGAACCTATAAAGTACAAGCTTATATGACATAAGCACACCGAAACCGTCGAAACACTATTTTTTATTGAGAAAAATATATATCACTAAAAACTCGCTTACATGACTTACATGACTTAAACTAACCCGACGTACATACATGTGTGTTTAAATCTCAAGTCATACAATAAAAGTCTCTTTATCAAGAAGTGTATGTAGAAGTGTGTGTGTATGTACATACACTTCTAACTTATTATATCAATTGTCTCAAAAGATCGCAGCACTGTATGGATGAACTGCCAAACAAAAAAGTACATTTTACAGAGACATAGTAATATCTTATAAGTAAACAAAGATTTACAATAAGTTAAAAAGTTAGTCTCATGTAAGTAACGAATTACCAAAATGAAAATTAGATGATATTGATTGCAAATGCTTTTCACTAAGGATTGGTTTATAATAGCCGTAACTGTTAATTTAAACCAATGCCGTAAAAGTTGAAAAATAGGAAACTCGTACTACCGTTTATAATTGAATTATAAGCAGAATTATGAGAGGATTTCAATGCTTCTGTTTATACGAAATTGCCGAATGCGTATAAACAGAAGTATAAAAATCTTACAATTGAACTTTACCGATTCCAGCATAAGTGAACAGTTATTGCCCGCATAAACAAGGCCTAAAAAAGAAAAAGTCTCTACACTAAGAACCGAAGTACAGACTTTTACATAATGCAAAACGCATACGACATAAGAAAATCAACCAATCCAGCTTTTTATTTTTATCCCTACTTCTTGTTCTAGAAGGCTTTGATTGGTTGATTTCCTTATGTTTTATGCGTTAGAGTCAGTCTACAATGAAGGTAAGGCTGTAGGAGTAGAGAGTAAATTATTATCTCGGTTCAATGAGAGAATAGGACACTACTCGCGCACAGGGGAAGAAAAGCGGTCAAAATGAAGATGCATTTTCACGTTCCGCTGATCGTTTGAGTGACAAAAAAAGTCACGTGATGATTTTTTTCGCTGACTATTCAACGTCAATTTTTGTACATGAAAAAGATTAGAAGCGACAAAATTGAGAGATTTCGCGTTTTTTGTATTTTGATGACGCGTATTTATGTATCCCAGCAAACAATTTCTGACTGCGCAGACCTGGCAACAGAAACTGTGCAGAAACGCTACAATACGGAAACATGCTTTGTGTGCTGCCAAAGCTGTTGACACACAGACACAAAAAACGCAACATAGTCACCAAAACTCACCAAAACCATATCCTGCTGAGGACACAGATGGATATGGATTTGGTGTGGCGGTTGGCGACAAAATCGCGACATCTGACAACCAAATTGTTTGCTGGATATATGTTTACTTCTTTATCTTCATTTTTCTTGAATTAAAGTAGTTCATTTTTGTATCGTTTTTGTATCGTTAATTTTTTTAAACGTTTTTTGGGAGTTCTGCAAAGTTATGTGTCTTTGGTATACACTGTCAAGACTGTGTTTGGAAACACCATTCGTGTGCACATGAGCGTCAATCTATCTTTGTTTTACAGTTATTACAATAAACGATAAAGATAAAGCGCACATGAGTAGTGTTTCCGAATGCAGTTCAGTGCATCACAGCGTTTGAGCAACAATGCTTCGTAATTGAACTGGTTCTAACTACAAAATTGTAGCCGCTGGAATACGAGCAACAAATCAAAGTCATCACGTGACTCTTTTTGTCGCTCAAACACTTAGTTCCAGCGGCACGTAAAATTGTATCTTGAGAATATTGCCTCACCGCTACTCAGTACTGTAAACATAGATGCAGCACGTTCAGGCCCGAATTTAGATTTCAGTGAATGAAATAATTTTTTATTTTAATGTATTATCAAGTTTTTTAATGTGATTAAATGTAATAAATGTGTAATCAAGTAATTAAAAGTAATAATCAAAATATAAATCAAAACAATTATATAAGCGTGAAGATTGTACAAGCGGTATAACACTGTGGAGTGGGGGCTTTTTGGTAGGAGAGATGCGCAGAACGGACGCATTTTCGTCCATGGGTGTCCTATTCTCTCGTTTAACTGAGTATAGTTTTTGGTGAAGTAATAACGCGAATAACCATAGAGCTTATACTCATGAAGAGGCCCTAGGAGCGCAAGGAGGATCGACAAAGAGAGATATATTTTTCTGTTTCAATTGTGGACACTTCTTATAAAAGAGAATAACAGAGAACACGGAGTGGGGGAGCCACAGTTGAGACAGAATATATCTATCTCTTTATTGCTCCTCGCGCGGCCCTCTCTATAGTTAACATATAGGCAAGACCTCTTCATGAGTATAAGCTCTATGTTTCAAACTACCTACTGCCTTAAGGCCAAAGGACAGACTTTTGCATAATGCATAACGCATAAGACAAAAGAGAAACAACCAATCAATGCTTTCTAGAACAAGAAGTAGAGATGAAAACGAAAAGCTGGATTGGTTGATTTTCTTATGTCTTATGCGTTATACAAAAGTCTGTGCTTTGGCCTTTACTGTCAGTCAATAAAAGACACGTGTTAAAAAAG